GAGTTGGGGACAGTTCCACCAGTTACAAACAAAGTAGGATAAAACATCAGGAGGTGAGATTTCAGAAATCTTGTCTTTGAGGGCATTGTATTTTGACATGTCCATGCAGGATCTCTGTTCTATGAACAGATCAATGAGACAAGATATTTGAGAAGAGGACAGCTTTTTCTGTTGTAAAGCCTTCTTAACGGCAGTCGTCGTGTGGAAAGCACAAAGTCGAATATTAACAAACGGAAGTGATGATTTGATGGCACAGATTTCTGCCATGTCCTTGTCAACAAATATGGTTTTGGTGCGCTGAGAATCAAAGGAACTGTCAAAAAACAAAAGACAAGAAGATAGGATAGTGGAGTCTTCCGACGCAAGAAAAGAATGAAACACTGGTCTGCCTTGGCCATTACTATAGACAACTAGGATGTTGAGGAGGGGGTAGTTTTGTTTATTCACTTTGTACGTGACATCCATAATAACTATTTCAGGAAATTGATTGAGGGAATCAAGCATATTTGCTGTTATGAATGATAGAAATTTAAAATCTCCACTCCCACTGGTTCCATATTTAATGACACCGCCCTCAGCCTGCACCTTTCGCAACACTTTATCGACATTTTCTGCCTCTTCACCTCTTGCATAATTACAGTATTTATTTCTCAAATTTTTAATGTCTTGGGTCATCAACATTTTCCCCTCCTTTTTGGCAACCAATTCTTGAACCTCTTTGGTTGATGCAGATCTGATGTTTAGCACATCCACCAGGTGCTCTGTGATTTGAGGCATTCTGTTTTCTGGATATAATCTTGAAAACTGGAGAGAAAATTTTTTTAATCCATTACTGTTCCTTTAAAAATTGCTTTCGGTAACATATTATGTAACTCCATTATTGGAGAAAAGCCACATGTAACCCACAACAAGCAATAAAAGTGACATACTTTCCCTAACTTTTAAATTGCTAATCATGTACCGGTATTACAATAAAAATGACAATAATTACTTTTCTAATCTCGTGACAATGTGGAAGACCTAAGGCATGTGTTTCTATGCTAGATAAAAATACTTGTGCCTAACACATGCTTAGTAATAGTTTATATAAGGAAAATAAAATAATATATAAACTATATATAGTCCGCAATTTTCATATTGAAACCGAATAAAATCAAAAACAACAGAATAATGGTAACTGAACAATTGTATATGATGTTGCACATTTATCACAAACTGTGCAGTATGCAGTAGTGAAAGGGAACGGTAATAAAATGTTAAAACAATTGGACTTATGGCAAAATAAATGGATTAAAAAAAATTGATAAATACCTCTGGTCCAGTAGGATGGTTTTCGTGCTCCAGGTTGCAGGTGGTCAATTTTAACTTATACACAGCCCCATCTTCCACCAGATTTAACCTTAAAAATGCAGGGCAAGCAGTCTTGAATGTTCTGAAACACAAAAAAGGAGATTGTCTTTTTCATTATCACATTAGGGCTGAAAGGCAGTTAGTGCAGGGCCGACGATGTCTTCCACTGTACTAAGGTCATGGAGGTTCCCCTGGTTAACCATTGACCATATTTTTGTTTTTCAAAATATTTGAAAAATTTTATTCTCATTGCTTAATAAATAGCAAAATTGACATTATAATCATTATAATTATATATATTTTGTGAGTGGCATACTGGTATTTCGTTTTCAAACACTACAACCTGCTCGGAGGGCAACATGGTCACAATGTGATGCAGCTTATATTTTGGGAACCACTGGCTAGCCTGTGTACGATACTGTGCAAGATACTGTACAAAATGAGTGTCAGGATATAAACAGCAGATATGTATAAAACATTACATTCTGAGAGTGTAAGAAAAAAAATGACTTACTTAAGGTTTGGGCGGATGCCTTTGCTTGTACTTTCTTTAGTGCGATGCCCCTGCTTGCAAACGAACTTTGCATTCTCATACTTTAGCGTATCAACAAGTTGTGACTCTTTTCTCAACTGAAAGAAAATGAATATGATGTCAATATCAAGACACAGATAATTACTCCATGGAGCTACCATGAAACAATATTATATTTATGGGATTCATATATTTATCTTATAATGGCAAACCGGGTTCTGCAGCACATCTATTTCTACATAGATCCAACTGTTTTATGTCTATACTAGGCATACCAATACCGGACGACGCTGGCAAAAAAAAACAGTGGGGTTTGTGTGGTACATTTCTGTGATATTTTAAAAATTTTTATAGCATGATTTTTTGGCTTTTGCAATATTTAAATATTCTGTTACATTTGGATTGTCACAAACTATTTATACTGAAAGTTTGATTGCAGTAGCTTCAATAGTTTAAAAGTTTTGTATTTAAATGTAAAAAAATATTGGCCGCGGTTGCTTTTCATGAATTATTTTTTCTAAAATTGCACAAATTTATCTGCTCTGTATTTTAATTTGGGGGAAAATAAATCACTAAAAAATTCATAACTTTTCTCCTTTAAGTGATATAAAGATTATCTTGGTGTCGCTGGAAAGCTTAGAGCCAGCCCTTTCCAATGATATAATCTTTATCTTTATGTAAATGTATGTCAGATGTATTTGAAAATTTGTGTTGATGTCAGGTTAATAATTTAAGCACTATATTTTAAATATAAAAAAAACATTCTTACTTTCTTTGAGCTGTATGTTACATACAGCACGCCACACTCTTCTTCATGCCTCTTTAGCGCGACGTAAAATTCATTGTAGGTGGTAAACATGGCATCTTTCTGTATCGACATTGTTAATAGTAATGGCTACAAAGCGACGCGAAGCGGGACGAAGTAATCGTAATACAAAGTGACGCCAAGCGGGAGGAAGTAATCGTCATAATTCAGTAATCGCCGAATATAGACCTCACGTGACCAGCCGACTGCGTATAACCACTTCGTATCCCTAAAGTATACTCTAAAATTAAACTTATAATATACGGAAAAAGTAAAAAAATTTACTTAATCTAATTAAGTATGATATAAGTAGATTTTTAAAGTCTTAAATTATATACAATACATAACACATAATATACATAAATACCAAGTGAAAGTGTCCAAAAGAAATCTGTAGTTGGTCACCTCTGCTCCTCTGTGACGCTATGATCTCTGTATAGTCGATAATCCTTCTATGTAGAAAGTGTACTTGGGTAAATACTCCAATGCAAAAGTTATATAATCCAATGAAAAAGTTACAACACAAACTGCTTCAGTAATCCAATGCAAGTACCTTGCGTAATAGAAGTAATAGTGTAA